AATGCATCATCTTACATAAGACAAATACTAGGTGGTCACGAAGGAAGGCAAAATTAAAATTAAAATTATTGGGGAAAAAAAGGGTTGAAACAGAAGTTGTAGATGCCCTATCCCTGGAAGTGTTTACAGCTAAGTTGGATGGGATTTTGAGCAACCTGATGTACTGGAAGGTTCCACTACATGGCAGGGGGGTTGGAACAAGATGATCTTTACGGTCTCTTCCAACCAAACCGTTCATCGTTCTATGAAGCCACTTCACTGGTGTTACTGCCTCTCCTTTACTGAAATCTCAAGTGTGTGAGTACACATACCATAACACATTTTTTCTGTGATACAGCTACTAAAGCTGCAAAGAGAACAACCCAAAAATACTGCCATGCACCCAACCTCCTGCACCACCCACTGCCTTGTCAAGGCCACCCAGCACAAACTGTGGTGGGAGGAGAGGCTTTGCAGAAACAATGGGTGGGTTTCCTTTTTGCTTGTTTTTTTTTCCTGTCCACATCAGAACCAGTGACAATTACATTAGGTTTGACTGAGGTTCCCCATCAGAAACTCTTTTTGCCTGTGCCACTGCCTCATTAACCAGCTGTATATTCTTGCTGGCTCATACAGTTTTCTTTGATGTCAAATAGTTTCAAAATAAACCAATCAGTCTGGAAACTGTACATGAAGATACTTGATTAATTACTGGTTTGCCAGTGGGAGACATTCAAGACATGGGGGCCATTTTCATGTACCTGTTTCCCACAGTGTCACACAATGTGCTGGGTAACAAAGGAGCTGAGGACAGAGCACTGAAGGCTAACTAACAGCAAACATTAAAAAAAAAAATCCATGCATAAAGTTTTTGCTGTCATTATAAAGAATACTCTGCTATACCAGACCTCTTAACTTTAAAAATTTATATAAAACAAATAAATTCCAGAACATTTATTTGAAAGTAGAAAGTATCACAAGCTGAAATTTCTTACCTACCAACAATCTACATACTTTCATCTAATGTTTATGGTCCATGTTTCCACTGTTTTAATAAACTGAAAATCATACAGAACTCATGCAAGTTTGCATTCTACTTTTGGAACTGGTGGGAGCCACCCAATGCTGCACTACAAATATTACTGAATGCAGTTAATTGTAACATCCTTTCTCCTCTCTTAGCAAAAGAAAGTTAAAGTGGAGAGGTAAAGGGCACTTGGAAACAATCTTAACCAATGATTACCCCAGAGAGAAATGACGGAGCACTATGTTCCCCGAGTAACAGCATTTACTCTGCTTCTACTACTCGTACTAAAATACTTGCATTTAACATTTGTACAAGGTAATCTCATTCATTTCTATCTTCACAAAGAAAGGGAAAACATGTCCTGGAAAACACCAACAGCCATCACTGGAATTAGTTTTGCTTCTTAACACTGAAGTAAACCAGACAGATGGCCACCACTTCCACGAACAAGTATGGTGACTCTGAAACCTCCCTTCCCTTCACTGTTGTTCCAAAAAGACAAACTGAAGGGCTATCGGCAACTTCGTCTGTCAAGATGTCTCTTATGTGAAATAATGACACTGTATTTAGAAGAGAGCACACGGAAGCTGCATAATGTTACACAGTGGAAAAAATCCAGGGGCAATGATACACTGCAAGTCATGGCACTCATCAATTTAAAAACAAACAAAAAAACAAAACACAAAAACAAACAAACCCCAAGCTCCAACAGCCAAAACCACTTAATAACTTCCCTTCCTTTTAAAATTTATGTATTCAAGAGGAAGCAAGACAGTGTGAGGAACTGCAAAATCCTTCTTCCAGGCGCCCTTTGCGGGACTTCTCAGGTGCTGGAGCGTGTCCCCCTCGCTGGCCCATTCTGTCCCAGCCCACGAACACGGCGATCACGGTGGTCCGTGCCGGCGGCACCCCCGCCTTGCT